ACAGACAGTACACAGAGTACAAACAGAATACACACAGTACACAGACAGTACACAGAGTACAAACAGAATACACACAGTACACAGACAGTACACAGTGCCTCACTCTGTTTCCTGGGACAGGTATGTGTGCCATACACCTGGCGGTTCTGGCCAATCGGCTGTCAGCTCTCAGGGAGCTGCTGGTGGGCGGGGCTGATGTTGAGGCTCAGGAGCGCAGCTGTGGGCGGACCGCCCTCCACCTGACCACAGAGACAGACAACGTGTCGCTGGCCGGCTGCCTGCTGCTGGAGGTACGAGCCGACCCGTCAGAACCTGCAGACAGAACCGGACCGGACCAATAAAACTCTGTGGTTCTGTTGTCAGGGAAARGCCAAGGTGGACTGCTGCACCTTCAATGGCTCCACCCCCCTCCACATCGCCYCGGGGCGGGGCTCCTTAAAGCTGACGGCTTTGCTGATGGCTGCAGGTGACCTGCTGATTGGTCCTTAGTCTGTGGCTCTGGTTCTGGTTCTGACCCACGTGTTGATCCGTTTGTCTCAGGCGCCGACCCTCAGAGGGAGAACTTTGAGCCTCTGTTCTTCAGGGAGGAGGAGGAGGGTGACGAAGACGATGAAGGCTACATCCCTGGAACAACTCCTCTCAACATGGCCAGCAGCTCTCAGGTTCTGGTTCTGGTTCTGGTTCTGATCAGAGTCGAGGCTCATGGAGGCAGGTGGTTTAATGGTTCTGTGTGCAGGTGCTGGATCTCCTGAACGGGAACGAGTACGAACCAAAACCTCCTCATCAAGCTTTCGTCCCTCCTCAAGGTAAGCCCCGCCCCCCACGGATCCATGTCCAGCTGCTGGGTGACACTGATGTGTGTGTGTGTGTGTGTGTGTGTGTGTGTGTGTGTGTGTGTGTGTGTGTGTGTGTGTGTGTGTGTGTGTGTAGGTGACCTGGCGAGCCTGGATGAGGAGGTGAGGCAGAGACTGTGCTGCGCTCTGCAGACTGAAGGATGCTGGGAGGATCTGGCTCACAGTCTGGGCCTCGGGATCCTCAACACGGCCTTCAGACTAAGCCCCTCCCCCGCCAAGACACTGCTGGACAGCTACGAGGTAAGACAGCACACGGGTCACAGGACTCGGGTTGAAGGACTTGGGAACAGAACTGGGTCAGAGATCTGTGTCTTGGTCCTGCAGGTCTCTGGTGGAACTGTGTCAGACCTGCTGGCTGCTCTCAGGTCTTTGGGAAGCTGCAAGGCGGTGAGCATCCTGGAGGAGGCGCTGTGTGACCACCCAGAGCCCAGCGGTGAGTGGACCACCTGCTGTGTTTGTACCAGCTGTCACCGTGGCAACGGGTCACTCAGACGTGTTTGTGTTCACAGGAGAGTCTGGGTCCACACCGGTCCAGGACCTGAAGGTGGACGTGCGGATTGACAGCTACGTGTGTGACAGCGGGGTGGAGCTCTCCACAGCGTAGCCTCTGATTGGTCCTTCTTCATCCATCAAGACTTCATACAGCTCCTCCTCTTCATCACCTTCATCATCAGAACTGTTAAACTATTCTTACTGAAACCTGAAGCTAAACGTTTGAAACTGACAGAAAAGGATGCTTCCAGCATGCGATGCTAGCTAGCCGCTGCGATGCTAGCTAGCCGCGGCCACGCCGGCTAACCGCTGCGATGCTAGCTAGCCGCGTCCACGCCGGCTAACCGCTGCGATGCTAGCTAGCCGCGTCCATGCCGGCTAACCGCTGCGATGCTAGCTAGCCGCTGCGAAGCTTTTAATCCAGAGGAGCAGTGATGAAGACGAGGACGCTCCCTGACGGAGCAGGGAAACGGTGCTACTYAAACAGGAACGTCTTGTAAAGAGGAACCAGGTTCAGGTCTGAGATGGGTCATTTGGGTCGGTTCTGTTGGCCGGAGATGAAAATATAAACGTTACAGGATCTGTGAACGCACGGAGCTTCTTCCTGTTTAATTTGAAACCAACTCATGAATTCACTGAAACTGATCCAGAGTGGAGCCACACCCACCGGTACTCAGCCTCTAAGCTCCGCCTCCTTTAGGGGAAACAACCACAGCAGCTGTTTTTTTCCCCCTAAAGTGGGCAGGGCCTTTTTTGAAAGAGGAGGAAGTGATGGCTGTGAGAGGCTGGGTCCTCCGAAGGCCGAATTCGTTACAGCGCTGTGACGAAGGCCGTCCAAAACCGAAGACTCCTCCGATGCAGCAACAAATGCGTCCTTATTTTGCCCCGAACTGAAGGATATGGATCCTTCTCGGCACACCGTATCCCATAATGCATTGCGGCCCGACCCAAGATTTTTTTATGCTAGTAATGACGGARGAAGTGAGTAAAGAAGACATCTTAAATAAAAATTTGGTGGTATAAAAATTAAAAATTTCAAGCGGTTGTAATTTTAATACTTTTATCATTCGTATAAACGTGTTTTAAATATTTTTGTCAGAAAAAAAACAAGAAATAAACATACACCTACAGCGGATCCATTAGTTCTTCAAATATTACCTTTAAGTTAATTTTATTTATATTAATAAAGCTAATATGTGACCCGTCACACCAAAACCAGGATTAAGTCCAAAAGTGGAGAAACAGACAGAAACAGGGTTTTGATTTAAATGTGTGCAAAAKRTGCATTTAGTTAAAATATAATGAATTAATGTCTTCTCAGTGTATCATTTTAATGAACTGGTTGAAATATAATCCTAAATATATAGTTTGAAGCATTTTTTAAGCAGCAGCAACCGAAAAAAACTGATTTTGAGGAAAAACGCCTTAAAATTTTCAAATTTTCCCTGAGAGCTAACAATGTTTTTGTTTCTGTCCAGCTGGGAAATTTTAATGTTGATATAATATTTGATGTTTTCTCTTTATATTAACATAAAAAATAACTCAATAAATTAACAAAAAATCAGGATTCAGACCAAACAGTAATGTATTATCAGAACTGAGACAAATGAAGTCATTTCTTTTTTCTACTTTCGATCTAAGTTAGCTTCTGTTTAGCGTCGTCACTAGACCGTCCAAATTCACAGCCGCCTTTTTTTTCCTTCCCGTTCTAACAAGGACACATGTCTCCACTGACACCAACACACCCCGTTTTAAGGCCACCATCAACAACCTCTGGACATCTGGAATCAGAAACTTTACTTTGGGTTTGTAAAACAAACATCAACACAAGAACTTCAAACTGAATTATGACTTTATTTTACCAGAAAAGAAGAATCACTGAGAGAGAAAATCTGTCCCAAACCAACAGGAAGGAGAGAAATGAACCCAGTCTGTGTTCATTTCATCACTGTTAGCAGGTTAACATGTGATCCATCAGCTCAAACATCCTGAGGCTCAGAACTGGACTTGGGTTCTGGTTCTGGTTTCCCCGGCTCAGCTGCGGTCCAACACGCAGCTTCCTCCTTCACACAGATGTGAAACAAGAACTCTCTGCGTGTCTTCATTTTATTTTATTTTGTTTTTTATACATTTAGAGCTTTTAAATATTTGTTCTTGTGAACTGAACTTCAGGTACCTTCTTTCTTTTCTGTCTTTGTGTTAAAATGAGCAGGTTTCAGCAGAGAGGGAGACACAGCAAGGCATTGTGGGTAATGTAGTCCTGATGCGTGAGGAGTTCAAACCAAAGCTGTTATATTTATGTCCTTGACGGCCTTGTACAGTTCATCATGATCTTTAACTGCTTTTACTGTTTGTTTTTGTTTAATAAAGTTGTTTATATATATATATTCAGTGTTTTTTATTAGTCTCATCAACTATTATATTAAATTATTTGTGATTATTGCATAAATTTTTGAAACAGTAACAGGAAAAATATCCACTCAATATTAATTGTTTACATTTAATTTGATTTCTAGAGATCACCTGGGGACCCGCACTTTTTGTTTCATGACCCAAAGTGGACCCCTGACCTTAACTTTGTGAGCCACTGCTTCCGAGCCTAAAATACCACAAAACGCATTAAAAAGTACAAAAATTAAATAAAGTACTGTTTTTGAACCCTTTAGAGTAAATTCACAAGCTTGGTCTCTTTTTAAAGTTAATAATCTGATATTTTAACTTCAACAG